ACACACACACACACACACACACACACACAAATGTCTAATGCAGGCGAACCATGCACATAACAACAACAACAACAACAATGCAGGCAAGCTCTGGTGGCCTAGTGGCAAGAAGTTGCACTACAATCCCAGAGGTGCATGGTTTGAATCCATCAGATGCTCTGCCGACGAAGGAGGGACAATCTCCTCCTGTACCAGTCAGATCTGATTTGATGGTACAATGCACACACACGAATAATAATAAAATTTAAAAAAAAATGTCTAATGCAAAGGGAGCTCTGATGGCCTAGTGGCAAGAAGCTGTACTGCAATCCCAGAGGTATGTGGTTCAAATCTACCAGATGCTCTGCTGGAGAAGGAGGGACAATCTCCTCCTGTACCGGTCAGATCCAACCTGACGGTACACGCCAAAAAAATAACAATAAAATAAAAAATAAAATCCTTTTTAAAAAATTGTCTAATGCAAGTGGGACTACTTTCTGTAAGGACAAAGGTGTGGAAAGGAGGATTTTTACTAAGTAAATGGCACTCCACAATGTAAAGAATTATCTATGTGCTTGCTAGCAAGGACAGAGTTGCAGGAAGCATCATTTCAAATAAAACTGAAAGGCCTCTATTGACAAAGCAGGGGTAATGTCATGATAATAACCTCCAGAGAAAGCAGCTTCAAAGAAAGGCCAAGCTATGCATAGAGAGGTTAGGTAAAGAGCAATCCTTCTGGGCTAATTCCCAATGACATTAACCTGACCAGGTTTCTGTTTACTAAATTTACTAGAGATCCTAATCCCACAGAAAAATTCCAGGTGAAGGAGAGAAGAGCCAGTGACCAACAAGAGAGCTAAGAGCCCAACAGAGTCCTCACCCATAGAAAGGCCAAGAATGACAGTCCCATTTCAAACTCATGCAACCGAGCAGATTCTTCCCTGTCAGGCTGAATAAAATCCTACCAACATAATGCCTCGAGCTCTGCAAAAGAGCTGACAGAACACCCTCAGAGACCAATGGACCCGGGAGGAAGAGCACAAGCTTCTCCAACAAAGTCTGCAATAAGGAACAAGTTAAGAACCTTTCCCAAGTTAGCAGTCACAACTCTTAAGACCGAGAAACAAGAGCCATTGTGGAAGAGGGCTCCTTACATTTGGGCTCTTGCAATCTGGGCTGGATCATTTTTTTGGTGTGAGGGCTCTGCCTCGTGTCGTAAATGATCCTCTGGCTTCCACCCACTAGAGGCCAACAGCAGCCTCTCTGTGATGGTCAAAAATGTGTCGAACATTCCCTGAGGGGTGGGGGGGTCACTCTAATGAAACCACTGCTGAGGATGAAACCAGTCACAAAGAGCCGCCAGGGATAAGTCACTCTCCTAGTGAAACCACTTCACCTCCTGAAACAGACATGGGCAAAAGAACAACAGAATCTGTTAAAGGGGAAAAAAGGTCATTTCCATTTTGAGTATGTATGTTAAACTATAGGACAGTAAATGGGGATGTCACAAAGGTGGTTTGTTAGAAAGATCTGGAAATCAGGCAAGGAGGCAGGTCTTGGCTATAAAAATAGACCGGAAAAGCATTAGCTAGATAGATGAATACCTCTGAGAAAAAGCATTTTCAAATCTTGAGCCAAAATAAAATCCTCTTAAGAGATGATGATTATCACCCTACACAAGGTCTACCTAGCGCCTAATTAAACAAGAACCCCTTGATGGATTTAGTCTATCGGAGGGTAATGTACTTGTGCACAATTTGTACCTTCGTCTGGACAGACTTGCCATATGTTAAGGCCTTCAGAGTAAACGTGCGCATATCCTCACTAATGGATAAGCTGCTTTAATGTTCCCATTTGGCACATGCTCCTTTCTTTTGCCTCTCTGTTCCCAATTCCACTGTCCCACATTCTGTCTGTTCTGAATAGATACTTGCAGATACACAATTAGGAAAAGCCGGCGCAATTCTCAAGATTAAGAATTATACGCAAGTGAGTTTTCCCAACATTATCATTAGAGAAATTCTGCACTGGGAGGCTCGGAGATGCCGAACAGATTACTTTTGCTTCAATAGAAAATCTCTCTAACAGCTTGAATACACCTCAGTTCAAGAGCTTATTTTCTTGAATGTCTGTTTTTGATTGAGAAATTAACTCCAACGTAATTTTCAACACGATTAGAAGATCCATTTCTACATATGCATAAGCTCACTTGTTAAACACATATTCAAAATGTTTTCTGAAGGGTTGTATTTCATGTAAAAATAGTGCAGAAACTCTTTTTCTAGCTCAAGACATATAATCTAGTTAACAAAATATATTCACAGTAAAATAAATTTGAATAATAGGAACATTTTGCATATATTTAGTCCAAACTGGTTTCCCTGTGCAGAATCACCTCCTACTGTGTGATCTTTACTGTTTTAACCAAATTAAAACCTTCTCAATTAGTGAAATTCAGCCTAGAATTTGTTACAGTCATTTTATATACCTGCCATTTCACAAAAACTGTATCTAGCTCATCTCCATAGTTGGATCATACCAATATAAAAGCATCCAGTGATGACAGATATAATTAAAGACCGATGATACCTTTCAGAGAGGACAAAGAACTGCAGAGAGAACAGAATTCTATTTACAAAATTAGGTTTAGTAATTTTCTGACCACAAGCCAAATTCACTCTAAAAAAAAAACAAACCTTTTAGGACGCCTGGCATAAATCTTACTAAAAGTAAAAACATTTCTTTAAATAAAAATGTCAGCAAACATCCAAGTTTCTTAATAGGTGCCTTAGACTAAATTTACAAAATCAGATATCACTTTTGTTGAAGGAAATTTCTATCATACTACCATTCCCCATAATCTTCACTTTCTCCAAATGCAAGAAAATGCCAATGATATTCGGTAAATGTTCTCTAATGAGTCTTTTCACCTAAAATTACAGCATAGGTTGAGAGGGAAGGGAAAGTAAGTGTGTTAAAAAATTATGCTGTCTTACCAATATGTTTCTGCAGGAGCCAAGAGGAATGTGAGGCACGAAGAGAGAGCATCTCTTCAACAGCAAGAGGAAGTCTTCTCCAGTTCGTAAACTCCAGAGTAAAGAGAAGGATTTCATCACTGACTGAGTCAATCCTGAATCAGAAGACATTAACATGCCATTAGATGCACATATACCAAGGGTCTGTCTTAGCAGCAGACAATATCTACCGAGTCTTACCACATCGGACTGAAAAAGGATGAGTAAAATCAGCACAAAGACTGTATTCATGGAACTAGAGGCTGTGTCACTGGATAGCGATAATTATCCACAGGTTCCTACCAGAAACTGAACTATGTATTTCTCCCCTAGAAACATTCCCATGTTAATAAAAGGTAGGAATGGTCCTTCCTATTCCTCAAAAACAGTGGTAAGAAGAAACAGAGAGACAGTTCTAGTGTGTTCACATGATCGGAGATTTTCTCCTCCTAACTGGACCACCTTTTACTACACTTGCCATCTTCAGCCCTCAAAAAGTCTAAACACCCAAATTAGGGACGGTATTTCTGGACAACTTCCCTAAAAAGCTTCCCCATGATTGACCGATAAAGAATACAGCAAAATGAGATTTGTCTTTAAGAAGTGAACAAATGAATTCAAGACAAAAAGTTCTTACTCCACTTTTTAAAAAATAGTATCAGATTTCCTACAAGTCTCCCAAAAGAGGCTTGCCGAAAATGTCATAATTTATAGGATCACCTCAAAGCCGTACAGATGATAGACACCACTGGGGCCACTACAACCCACAGCAGTCCTAGAACAACAGATCGGAACCTTGCCCTTACCCTGTGCTGTCCTCACCATCTCCGAGTGCTCAGGCCCGCTGTTACGGTCACTGTCAATTCATCTTGTTGTCGGTCTTCCTCTCTTTCACTCACCTTTCCCGGCACGACGTCCTTTTACAAGGACTGGCCCCTCCTGACAAGCCCAGAGCATGTGAGATGAAGCTTCCTAAATTCTGTAAGCCCTAGATTCCAGTCTCTAAAATGAAAACAACACTTAACTTGCCTACTTCAGAAGTAAATAAGCATGCT